ACACACACACACACACACACACACACACACACACACACACACACACAGACAGAGACAGGAGGGGGATGTCCTCATTAGGGGGAAACCCCGGCTGCAGGATTCACTCTGACTGAGTTGCCATGGAGACTGGATCCAGTGCGGGGGAGTGCTGTGTGTGTGAGTGTGTGTGTGTTTGCCAAAGTGGAAGCTGCAAGGATGGAGGTAGGGGAGGAGGAGGGGAGGACTGTTATGTAACGGGGGGAACTGCCTTGGAAGCAGCGAGGAGGGGATGAAGAGGAGGAGGAGAAGAAGAAGAAGAAGGAGGAGGAGGAGGAGGAGGAGGAGGAGGAATGCGGATATAAAGAAGGAGACAGATGCAGCGAGGATTGAAGGAAAGGAGTGGAAAATTTAAGCACCAGGGGAGGATGAGGAGGAGGATGAAGGAGGGGAGGAGGCAGCACAATATGGCAGAGAAAGAGAAGAGAGGGAAGGAAGGAAGGAAGGAAGGAGGAAACCACTCACAGGTCAAAGAGGAGGTAGTGGAAGCCTTCCTCTGAGATACTATCATGGAGACGAACTGCAGGAGAGGGAAGAGGAAGAAAGAAGCATCAACATAATCTTTTCATCTTCATCGTCTGCTGGTACATTGAACTGTTTATCCGCTCGTTTGATTTGTACAAAAGAAAGATGTGATTAAATACTTTCATTAAATTAAATGTGGGACTACTGCAGTGTAATATATATGATCAGGTTTTTATTCCTCGCACTTATTTGACTATTTAAATGTTTTATGTTTCCTGTTTCTTCTTTGATGTCTTGTTGTCACGAGTATGTTGCTTTGACCTGTGTGTGTGTGTGTGTGTGTGTGTGTGTGTGTGTGTGTGTGTGAGTCTCACCGATGTTGGAGTGCTTCAGCAGTCTGCAGATTCTGGCTTCTCTCTCCAGTTTCTGATGATCTGAAACACACGAGAGCATTTAATCAATGAGATCAACTGTGACGCAAAGAAACACTCATTTTAGTTCATGTAGTTTGTTTAGAGGTAACTTTTCTCAAGGTGATCGACACACACACACACACACACACACACACACACACACACACACACACACAGATCAGCCTGAGGGCTACTTCTGTCCCAGATGCCCATTTAACCTCTCATTCCAGATAGAGGAGAGAGGAGAGGAGGAAGGAGAGAAGAGGACAGGAAAGGAAACATGAAGAAATAAGAGGAGAGGAAATAAGAGGGAGCTACAAGAAAAGAGAGGAAACAAGGGGACAAGAGAGAGAAGGAGAGGAGTTGAGGTGTAAAGAGGAGACAAGATAAGAGGAGAGGATACAAGAGGACAAGACAGGAGATAAGGGCACAAAGACAGGAGACATGTGGAGGAGAGGAAATGGGGAGAGGATACAAAAAAGGAGAGGGAAGAGGAGGAAAGAGAGGAACTGACAGGAGGAAAAAGAGATAAGGAAACATAGATGAGAGAAGAAATGAGGAGAGGAAATGAGAGCAGGAAAGAAGAGTAGGCCATAGGAAAGGAAATGAGGAGAAAAAAGGAGATGGGTTGAGAGGAGATGTGACAAGGAGACGTAGAGAAGTAGAGAAAAGGAGAGGAGAGAAGACAATGATGACAGGAGAGGAGATAATGAAACCAAGACAGGAAACAAAAGGAGAGGAAACATGAGATGAGGATTGTGGAGAGGAGAGGAGGGAAGGAGAGGAAAAGAAAGGAGGGGGGCCATGGGAAAGGAAATGAGGAGAAGAGAGGAAACATGGAAATGAGCTGAGAGGAGAAAGGAGACTTAGGAGGAGAGAAGTAGAGGAAATGAGAGAAAACTAGAAAAGAGGAGAGGAGGAAAGAATAGGAAAAGAGAGGAAAGGAAAGGAAACAAGTGGCAGGAGAAATGAGGAAAGGAAATAAGAGGAGGCTACAGGAAGGAAACAGATAGAGGAAAACTGGTAAACAGAGACGAGGAGAGAAGTAGAGAAAACAAGGGGAGAGGAGAGGAGACAAGGTGGTTACTGAAGGTGGCGTGAGACTGAAGCCGCCATCGTCTCTGTGATCTCTGCTGTTATCACTTCATTGTTTCTATTTTCAGATGATTTCTAGGACGTTTATTTATTATTTTTACAGTATTTGATCCATAATAAAACGGGATAAAACCACAGAATGACATCACGTCTAAGACGCCACAAATAACCCTTTAAAGAGACGACGTCTGCGTATTCTGTCTCAACAATCTACAGCTGACAACTGAGACGTTCCTGTCCTCATAAAGAAGAATTTACTCAAAGAAGTGAAAATGTAGATTTGCTTCGTGCGTTATGAGGGTTTCGCCTCTCGGAGGAGGAACAGACGTGGAGGCGCTGCAATCAAACACTCGCTAAAATATGGTAATGTGAGCCTTCAGATCTGGGACACACACACACACGTGAAAACCCCCATGATGCATCTCTGCTGCCTCATGACACACACACACACACACACACACACACACACACACACACACACACA